TTTTTCTCCCTTTTTTTTTAAAGAAAAATTCTTTTTTAAGTATCAGAGAATTTTCTATTATGGCCTATGTATAGGAAAAAAAAATTTCATAAAAAGGATGTATGTATATTATTATTGTAAGTTAATGAAAATGAATGAGAGAAAAAATGGGGTATGTATAAGAACAACACATAGAGTTGCCAGTATTCTGGGAAAAACTTTTTTCATTGAACAAAAAAATTGATGTGTGCTTTATCTGTTTATAACATTAACATTATATTGTTTTTAACATTATTATATATTTAGAAAAACCACTTTGTCTTCTATAGTATAATATAGAAGTAAGAATATAGAAGTTCACAATTTTAACATTTGAATTCTACAATATTTGTAACTATCAATTACAAGTACTTATAAAGTGCCAATCATACATTAAATACCAATCATCATTGCATACATTGAGTACCAATCATACAATAGTGTACCGACTATACATTTCGTATACCAATCATACATTGGGTACCAATCATGAAAAAGAGTACCGATCATACATTGAGTGCCAATCACACATTGTGTATCAATCATACATTGAGTGACAATCATACATTGAGTTCAAATCATACAATAGAGTACCGATGATACGAGTATATTAAGTGCAAATCTTAATTTTTATATAATGCAGTTATAACATATTATTTTACGCTAAAATGGTAACTCTAGAATCTATAATTGTATATGCAAAATTGAAAAAGAGAAAAGAAAAAAACAAATTCAAAGAGTGAAAATTGTAAAAAAATACAGAGTAGGTTTTTGTGATATGAGTAGATAAAGGCTTGAGTGATTATTGTGAGTGAGATGATCTGAATAAATGAATAAAATTATTATTATTTTTTTCCTTTTTACTTTTCTTTAGGACATAATAAATTTTCTGATCTCAATAATTTTAAGGTGACACAAATTTTTCGAAATACATGAAAAATAAAAAACAAAAACAGAAATGAAAACAAAAATATAGCAGAAATCTGAATGAGTTATGGACCACCAATTTAATTGTAAAAAAAATTTAAATAGCTACCTTAGTTTTCAAATAATTTCAACATTTTGGGTTTATTTTTTTTGCAGAGCATAAACAACTTTAGATTCATATATATCATAATTCCTATGTATATACATTTTAAAGCTAGAATTTGGTTTTTTATTATTAGATTCATAAAATGGCGACTTAAATTTTTTAATTATTACAATTAAATCCTCTTACACTAATATTATATATGAAATAATTTTTATTCTGTATATTCACAAATTAGCATATAAAATTGATTTTCCTATATACATACATATATGCACATGAAAATTGTATTACATAGATTACATATAATGTAAATGTTTGCACATGCATTCATAATATTTTAATTTATATGAAAAATATAACGCGCATTGTACTCAATTTTTTTTCTTTAGATGTTTTAATTTAGGACACTAATATTCACATTTCTTATCAAAAGTATTTACTATATACATATGCATCATATAATATATAAGTATCCACATAACATATTATGAAACATTATTCAATATTTTAAGGATATATACATATATATCTCATATATATATATAGGATATATACACATCCTTATTTATTTACGTATTAATAAACATTACAATGTTTAGAGAAATTAGAACGGAAAAGGAAAAAAAAAATATTTTCCAAAATAAAATGAGAAAATAAGGACAAATATAGCTAGCAATGCGATGTATAATACTTTATGAACATAAATTTGTATGTATATATATTTACAACTTATATATAAGTATGGACATTTACTAGTTTATATGCATAAATATTTGTTTCCAATTCAACAATTTAATTTATGAAAGAAAGAAAACATTGGAAAATAAAATTGAAAGCTGGAAAAATTTATTTCTACTCGAAGCATATTTTTAGGCGAAATAAGAATTTTTTATTGAATTTGTCGATATACATTGGTCAATGTTTGTATATTTAGCTTTCTAATTAATTGTTCCTCTCTTTTCTTCCTCTATTATTAATTTCTAATTAATTAATTTTAATATGGAATCATGTTTTATTTAATTTCTTCTATTCCTGCTCAAAAACCTCAAAAATATATTAATTATTTTATTGTATAATAAGTTTACAAAAATCAGTTCACTTGTTCTACTTTTAATTTATAATACACACAATATAACTACTTCTTACATAATAATTAGCATTTAAAGTTATACATACTTATAAATATAATTTCTTTTATTTTCCAATTTTATAAAAAACTAACAATATTCAAAAGAAGAATTCAAAAACCGGTGTATTGAAAATGAAGTTGAAAAACAAAATTGAAAAATATTTCACATATTTATTCCGCTTAACTTCCAATTACATACATATTTTCATCAGCATCGTTAACATCATCCAACCATGTCTAAATCCAAGAGATTTAAACTAAAACAGAAAAAATAATAATATAGTTTCAAAAAAAAGAGGAAAAACTGCAAAATAAATGAAAAATGAACACACACAAACATATAAAATAGCAAAAAAGCAAAATAGAAAATTGCTTCACTAATTGATAGCAAAAACTGTAAAAAAAAAACGAAAGGAAAATCGCACGATTACATAATTAACTAGGTCTTTGCCATGATTTATGTCAAGTACATGCATAACAACAAATTTACAATGCATAATACACATAATATACACACACATATACAACACATAGATAACATAAAACATAAAATTAAAAAAAAAATGCTCACATGGCGTTTGTTGTTTTCCTTTCTTTCTTTCTATTTTTTCTTGTTTTTCTTTCTGGTTTTTTTATGCATGTTCATTTGATTTTCATTAGTTTTCTTTTTCTCTACTTTCCTTTTGATTCTTTCAACTTAATAATTATTATATATAGCCATAAAATAAAATAAAGGAAAAACCTGAAAAATATTCTGCAATCAATAAACTCAAAGTAAAGAATATTAAAAAATTAAAAACATCAAAAATGAAACCGCATCATTTACAAAATAAATTTGCCTTCTACTCCTACTTGACTATAAATAGGAAAAAAGCCCAATGTTTGTTTACACTCTTATGTGCATCGGAAATAACGAAGCTGCCACGAATGACATTATTATCTGCAAACTTATTCGAATGACAGCTGATAATACATTAATTTTATAGATTAAAAACTATGGTACAATCTAAGCATCGCTTGAAATTTTCAAAATTACAAGAAGAGATGATAAAATATTTTCACAAATAATTTTTAAACATAAGATCCCCTGTCCAGCAGCATTAATTGAGTTATTTTAGATTAAATTTGAATTATATAAATAATTATAATAATTATGCAATAAAATAGTTTGAAAAAATTCTTAGTTTTGTAGGTTAGCACGTACATTCCCAATAAAATTTGGAAAAATATGATGCTTATTAAATTGACTCTAACTACCCGCTGCCATCATATATCTCCCGTAGTAATATAGTTAAAAACACATAATGCTGCATATTTACAGAACTGCGTTTCGCAGTTATTGTTTTTGCAGTATTGCGTTTTGCAGTTATTGTATTTCCAGTATTGCGTTTATGAAAATCAATATTATATTAACTTAGTGACCTAATTAGTTGTATGATCGCATATAATAAGACATTAATTTGTATATTCGAACATTTTCATTTGAAATTTTCGAATAAATGCCAATTTTTACTTCTCTAGAAGTAATAGAAAGTAAAAATCTATCTATAGTAATATGTATTACATAATATATTTACATAATACTATGTATAGGTACATGTTCATAGTTATACATAAAAATAATACTACAGAAAAAATGCATCCTATTATGAAATGTAAAAAAAAAATTAGAATTTCTTGTTAACCTAAAAAATAAAATGTTTATTATTAACTTTCTTCCGTCATAAAACTTTTTATACTACCGGCCTTTAGGTAATTTTTATATAATACATACACACACACATGCTTTTATTCATAAATGAGTGCATACATAGATATGTTTGATATTTTGTTATTGTACAGTTATGTTATGTAAACAAAATGAGAAAAACTTCAGAATTTCATTGGTTTTTTTTTCTATTCTTGCAAAATTATTGCTGTTTTTGTTTTGTTCTGCTTTTAAAATGCTAATTAAATGATTGATAGCACAGCGTTTACACGCATACCTTAGTGTGCTACGGCTACACTTTTAAAAGTTTAAAAATTTTTTGTTTTGTTTTTAAATCTCTATTGCCTTGTGTTTGATTTTTATTTTGTTTCTCCATTATTTTTATTTTGTCTACGGTTTTATTATTTAGGAGAATACGCAAAATTGTTGACACCGTTTTTTTTTTTCGAAAAGCAAAAATAAGAACATTACCTATAAAGAATAAAAGCAGAACATATAAAGGACTAAAAATGGTATATAAAATTATTCTGTATACGTGAATAATACAGGCAATATGCATAAATACATACGCATATACATTGATGTATTAATGCAGTTTTTGTTTTTTAAAAATGCTACAATAAAAAGTTCCATTTTAATTTTAACCTATTTTCATTTCTTCGTTTAAAAGTTTTAATTTTATAATATGCATTTAGGAAAAAATATGCATGCATGTCAGTATGTATACAAATATATGAAAAATTTTGAATAGCGTTAATGGTATTATATCATAAGAATATTTATAGAATTTTGTAGGAAAATGCTATTTACTTGTTATTTTATAAATTATGCATATTTTGTATGCACACTCATATAATTCTTGTTTGTAAGTGCGTAAGGATTACATTTAGATTATAGGTAATTAAAAAATTATGAAATTGTAATATTAATAAATTAATATAGGCATTTACTATAAAATTTAAAACTCATATATAGGAGGGGATTAAACTGGAGCCATAATATAAATTATTAGACAACCTCCAAAAATTTCAATATTTTAAGATAAATAAACTAAAATTCCTTTATTTTTATTTTTATAAATATTATTTCAATTAATTTATTTTCTATTTTAGGTTGATGATCAAATGAAATTACTTCAACATTCATGGTCTGATATGTTAGTATTAGATCATTTACATCAAAGAATACATAATGGCTTGCCAGATGAAACACAATTAAATAATGGTCAAGTATTTAATTTATTAGGTTTGGGATTACTTGGAGTTCCTCAATTAGCTGATTATTTTAATGAATTACAAAATAAATTAACAGAATTAAAATTTGACATGGGAGATTATGTTTGCATGAAATTTTTAATATTACTTAATCCAAGTATGTATAAATATATTTCCTATAATTAATAATAATATATACTTACTATTATTTTCATAAATTAATTTTATATGTGTTATATTTTAGATGTCCGAGGAATTGTTAATAAGAGAACGGTATTAGAAGGACATGAAAATGTTCAAGCTGCCCTCTTGGATTATACACTTACTTGTTATCCAACAGTAACGGTAATATTTAAAATATATATAGAATAAAAATATGAAAAGGAAAAAAAAGCTTGAATTTCTTTGATAAAGAAGATTCCAGAAATAATTTTTTTTCTAAATTTTTAAACTAATTTTATCCCTCAAAAAATATTACTCACTCATTAAAATATTAACAAAAAAAAAAAAAGATTTTTAATGAGAAAAATGGTGCCTCAGAAATTTTATTTTCTTCATTATATTTTTATTCTATTATTTTATTTAAAAAATCTAATAAAAAATTTTTTTTATGAATTTTATAATTTCATATAATTTCAACTAATCAACAAAAAAAATACAGGACAAATTTAGTCGTTTATTAAGCATTTTACCTGAAATACATGCAATGGCCACCAGAGGTGAAGAACATTTATATGCTAAACATTGTGCCGGTAGTGCACCAACGCAAACGTTACTTATGGAAATGTTACATGCTAAAAGAAAAATTTAAAGATTTGCATTACAAAAAAAAACAAACATCTCATATAACATCAAAGGCATGATTTTCAATCAAAATCCAGTTTCCGATTTACATATAAATGGAGAGCAAACAAATAAATGAAAATACAAATCAAAATCATAAGGAAACCACAATAACACAATATAGATGAGAAAGTTTTTATATAAATGTTCTATATATAAAATAAGAATAAAATTTTAGTGATATATTAATTAAGAAAATATAAGAATAATAAGGAAACAGCAAAACATTTTTTAAAGAAAAATGCAAAATGAATGAAGGAGAAGAGAAACAAGAACAACAAAAAAAATATACAACAAAAGAATTAAAGAAATAGAATTATAGATTAAAATTATAGAAAAAGATGAAGAAAAAAAAACCAACGTAAATAATATCAAAAAAAAAATTAAAATGTAAAAATATTACATAAATGAAATTAAAAACAAAATAATTTATTGTATAATAAAAAAAAATAAATTAAAAGAAAAAGAAAAGCTTCAAAACTACCATTAATAAAATAAATAAATAATAATAAAAAAAAAACTATGGCTGAAAGAGCACGCATTAATTTAGTTCTTATATATTTTAATTTTAATTTTATTTTTTCTTTTTCTTTCTTGTTTCTTGAATAATTAAAAAATTTTAATTTTAAGTGGAGAAATGTTAAATAATATTAAAAAGAAACAGAATAAATTTGTAATTAATGTTCATATATGTATTTAAAAATAAATTAAAATTATTAAAAAAAAAAAACAAAAAGAATTAATCAAGATAAATATTTTATTTTTATAAATATTAAAAATTAAAAAAATAAAATTAAATAAAACAGAAATTCTGTTTTATAATTATTATAAAATATTTATAATTAGTTATTCATATATCTGTATATAATAATTTATAATGATTGTATAAAATATAAAAAAATTTGTATAAAATAAAAATTTATGTAAATTAAATTAAGTAGTATTTAAAAAAAAATTTCATTAAAAATTTTGTGTGTTTTTTAATTTTATTTTTTTTTTTTGGTTCGTTATTAAGTTTTTATTTTATATATTTTAAGATTTTTTTTTTTTGAAGTTCGTCCAAAATTCTATATAATTTCATTTGGTTTTTCTTAAAACATTTATATATAAAATATGTATATATATGCATATATATATATATATATATATATATATATATATATATATATTATATAAATATATATACTAAATTATAATAAATACATGTATAAAATATAATTTACAATAATGTCAATTTCAAACAAAAAAAACTACTATTGTACATTGATTAAAATCATTTATTTTTCAATTTTATTTTATTTTGTAAAAGAAAAATTAAATATTAATTTATGTGTAAATTTTTTTAATTTATAAATTTGAATATATTAATTTTTAATTAATATTTTCTTATATAAAAAACAAGATAATTTCTGTACATATATTTTTAAATAATATAAATAATTATTTTTATTACGTACCTCAAATAAATAATTAAAATGGAAAAAAAAATTTAAAACAAAAAAATAATTTTTATAATATTAAATATTTATTATTATATTTGGTAATATTTATATTT